ATGAAAGGTGGGTGGGTGGGTGTGAGAGAGAGGCAGGTTCTAATATACATTTTATTTTAAGATATAGAAGAAAATAACTTTATCTAGAAATAAACCTATTAAAAATAATTGGTTGCTCTTCTGTTTTGTGTTGAATGGAATTAGGCTTTATCAGTGTTAAGCAGCTTTTATGTTGCACTTTGAACAACTAAGAATACGAAACAAATTAGGTTGATGCTGGCTGTCCCAACTATCTATTTATCTAGCTGCAATTTTCCAGTTTTGCTCTAAGGCTTATGCAAAATATATATTTCTTGTCACTAAAAATTAGTCATCATGAAAACCATAGCAGATTTAATTCATTATGAAATATGAGATGAATTTTAAGCAAAACACTAAATTTAAGCCAAATTGGTTATCATCACTTCAACTTACATCTCAGATAAGCAAAATTTATAAAAAGACGAGAAAAACCCAGTTGGATCACACCGAAACCCACTTATCCAAAATGCTATGTCACAGTGATCGACTGAAAATACAGTATTTATGGACAGGAGGACAATAGCCTATTTATCCTTGCCAAACCTGAATGTTTCATTGAATGTCATAGTTTCAACTGATGACCAACTCTGTTTTTTTTGTTTTTTTTAAAAAAGGCACTTTAGTTACAACAGAACAGAATCTGGGACCTGTGACAGCCAACATTGCCTATGAGCTAATACACTCATATCAATGAGAGATACTGCAAAAGTGTAAAGATCCACTCAGTTGACAACACAAGCAATATATTTGATGACAGATCAGTCTCAATGTATATGCAAAGTCAAAATTGGTTTAATAAACTTATCTTTTAAATAGATTAGATCGAGATATTGATGTGGAAGACTTCCAACGCTACCCGGAGAAAGTTCATGCATCTCTTTATGGATGTCCCGTGGAATCTCCTCCAGTTGCCCTTTTTCATAAAAAAAGAAAAAATTCCTCCAAAGCCAAGGAAAGCCACAGCAAAAGGGTGAGTGAGTGTCCATATCTGGCCTACAGCTTTCTAGATAGGAACTAATGCTAACTAATAGCAGAATTCTTTGGGCCAGTTGTGCAGATTCTAAACCTTTTTTAATTGAAATACACTTCAGTGTAAATTTATCTTGTTCAAAAGTTGTGGTTTTTAACAAATGGTACAGTATGAAAAAAGAAAAAGAATCAAATCAAATCAACCTTTATTGTCAGAGTACAATGTGTACAATGAGATTGGCTGAGCCTCCCACCACCACCCCCAACACAACTCAGTGAAGACAGAAAGTCTCTAACCCAGTGAATCCTACTAGCAAACACACAATCTTATTACACCATGTGAACTTATTGCACAATGCACCGTCCCCGCAAGTCTATCATACTATGTTGACATGAAGTTATTTTCCATTCAGGAGTCTGACAGCCCATGGGTAGAAACTATTCTTCAGCCTGTTGGTGCAGCTAGCTATGCTTCTATATTTCCTACCCAATGCTATGAAAGTGAAGAAGTGTTCACCAGGGTGTGAGTCATCCCTGAGGATTTTCCTCGCTCTTCTAAGATAGCGAACCCTAGTGATGTTATCTATTTATATCAGCGGACAGCCCACAATGTCTTGTGCTGTGCTCACCACCCTCTGTAGTGTCTTTCTATCCACGGCTGTCAAGCCAGCACACCACACCATAATGCAATATGAGAAGACGCTTTCTATTGTGGACCAAAAGGAGGTCAATTGTTCCACTTCGTTCTTTCACAAGACCCTGAGGAAATGGAGTCTCTGTTGGGCCTTTCTGGCCACCTGAGTTGTGTTGGTTTTCCAGGTGAGATCTTCGCTGAGGTAGACTCCCAGGAATTTAAAGGAGGAAACTCTCTCCACACACACCCCCTCAATGTAAAGTGGGGCGGGTTCCTTCCTCTTCTTCCGGAAGTCTAACACCATCTCCTTTGTCTTGCGGAGGTTCAGGTACAGGTTGTTTGCTTGGCACCATGAGGATAATGTTTGAACTGCAGTAAACTGTAGTCATACTAACGCATTCCACATTACTTTGATTTAATACATTTCCCATATTCTTTACATCATTATTAATGCTATTTACTATCCTGCTTTTACCTATGAACAAGTATATCAATATCATTTTAAATGAATTTATTAGGTAGTTAAGCCTAGGTACTTGGGGAAAGTCCATTTTACTTACTGTTTTCTTTTGTCTTGCTTGTCACTGAGTTTCTATGTATGTATACACTGGGAAACTCTGGATCAGCAGTTTATGCTCTGCTCAGAGGTGCATGACTTGACAAGGAAGCAAAGACTGGAGTAGTTGGCAGCATTCAAAGCCAATGGCCAACTGCCTCTCCCCCAGGGATGCTGTGAGAACTAATTTTCTAGAGGGCATTTCTTCAAATTCAGCCCATTTTCAAACTCGGTCTTTTTTTTTTTCTTTTTTTGCCAGCTTCTACCACAATGCCACATTTAACCCTGTTCTTTTCAGTTGTGAGGGAGCGGCTTATCAATAAGTTATCCTGCCAATGGAGAGCCAAAGTTCTGAGCCTCTTTATAGAATTTTTTCCAACAGTCTATCGGGCTGGAGCCAATAAAATAAAGATGGTAGTAACTGAAAAAACTTCACCTATCAAAGATCCAATGTGGCCTGCTTGAGGAGTTCTTAAATTGTACCTTTGCTCCGTTTTAGCACCTGCCTATGCGGTTTTGATATTACTCACAGATAATCCATCCAAATAGCATGCCACAGTAGAGATAAGACCTGGGCTACGTTTACTGAAAAAGAACGTATAGGAATGTATCGTAGAATGAAAACTGTGCCTGTCCAGCAGCAGTGTATTGATTACATTTATTTATTTACTTATTTTGTTTGAAGGCTGAAAAAAGTAAAAAAGGAGCATCCCCTTTGTCATCTGTCATAAATAAAGGAGAACAAGAACTGAGAAATCAGAGGGACCCACACTGCCATTTCTCCAATAATCCGAAAGCAACTGAGCAGGCGTATCTTTTTGGTGGGACAGCAAATAGCCGGCAAGAGTTTGATTATTTACCAGAGGATTTCTATGAAAGGTATAGTAATCATATTGTAATATACCTATAAAATATTAAATAATTATTCACATATTTTCAAATTATTAAATTAATTTATTAGATGTAACTGTTATGTTTGGAGAAATAGATATATGTTTGGATATATATTGTTTGGAGATACAGGCGAAACTCAAAAAATTAGAATAGCATGCAAAAAGTTCATTTATTTCAGTAATGCAACTTAAAAGGTGAACCTAATATATGAGATGGCTTACAGCTCATGAAAACCCCAAATCCACAATCTCAGAAAATTAGAATATTGTGAAAAGGTTCAATATTCTAGGCTCAAAGTGTCCCATTCTAATCAACTAATTAAGCCATAACACCTGCAAAGGGTTCCTGAGCCTTTAAATGGTCTCTCAGTCTGGTTCAGTAGGAATCACAATCATGGGAAAGACTGCTGACCTGACAGTTGTGCAGAAAACCATCATTGACACCCCTCCATAAGGAGGGAAAGCCCCAAAAGGTAATTGCAAAAGAAGTTGGATGTTCCCAAAGTGCACATTAATAGAAGTGCACATTAATAGAAAGTTATGTGGAAGGGGAAAGTGTGGAAGAAAAAGGTGTTCAAGCGGCAGGGATGACCATAGCCTGGAGAGGATTGTCAGGAAAAGGCCATTCAAAAGTGCTGGGGACTTTCACAAGGAGTGGACTGAGGCTGGAGTCAGTGCATCAAGAGCCACCACACACAGACAGATCCTGGACACGGGCTTCAAATGTCGTATTCCTCTTGTCAAGCCGGTCCTGAACAACAAACGTCAGAAGAGTCTTACCTGGGCTAAAGAAAAACAGAACCGGTCTGTTGTTCAGTGGTTCAAAGTCCTCTTTTCTGATGGGGACAACTTTTGCATCTTTTTTGGAAACCAAGGACCCAGAGTCTGGACAAAGAATGGAGAGGCACACTGCAAGATGCCTGAAGTCCAGTGTGAAGTTTCCACAGTCTGTGTTGATTTGGGGAGCCATGTCATCTGCTGGTATTGGTCCACTGTGCTTCATTAAGTCCAGGGTCAACACAGCCGTCTATCAGGAGATTTTGGAGCACTTCATGCTTCCTTCCGCAAATGGGGATGCCGACTTCATTTTCCAGCAGGACTTGGCACTTGCTCACACTGCCAAAAGCACTAAAACCTGGTTCAATGACTGTGGGATCACTGTGTTTGATTGGCTAGCAAACTCGCCTGACCTGAACCCCATAGAGAATCTATGGAGCATGGCCAAAAGAAAGATGAGAGACATGAGATCGAACAATGAAGAAGAGCTGAAGGCCGCTATTGAAGCATCCTCATCTTCCATAACACCTCAGCAGTGCCACAGGCTGATAGCTTCCATGCCACGCCGCAGAGGCAGTAATTGCTGCAAATGGGGCCCAAACCAAATACCAAATACATATGCATGCTTATACTTTTCAGAGGTCCAATATTGTTCTATGTACAATCCTTGTTTTATTGATTGCATGTAACATTCTAATTTTCTGAGATGGTGGATTTGCGATTTTCATGAGCTGTAAGCCATAATCTTCTCAATTATGACAAATCACAGCTTTAACTATTTTGCTTTGCATGTACTGAGTCTATCTCATATATTAGATTCACCTTTTAAGTTGCATTACTGAGATAAATGAACTTTTGCACGAGATTCTAATTTTTCGAGTTCTATCTATCTATCTATCTATCTACACACACACACACACACACACACACACACACACACGAACAAGGAGACCAGATATTCAAGGCTTTCTGCAATGCCATCATAATGGAAACCATGTTAATTTCTGAAGGATGTCATTCTAGAGGACTGGTGTTGCAACATAAAAGCCATAGTGCTTGAGTCCTGACAGAGGGCATTATGTAATCAAAGGGACCCAGAGCATGCCAACTTTGTCAGCATTTACCAGATGAGCATAAACTGTGAAAGACACCTGGTCTGTCGAGGAACCAAGCCCTACAGGATTACCATAACTGAATATATCAGTTATCACAAATAAAAAGTCTGTTTATTTTTGACATTACAAATTGTTCTCTGGAGGCAGCATTTCATTTCTCCAGCTTGTGAATGGAAATCAATATCTCTTTCATAGAAAAATGCTATTTTTGTTTACCAGATCTCAGTTCTCCATTAGTCTAAAGACTCATTCATCCCACGGAATGATTTTCTATATTGCTGACCAAGCAGAGGAACATTTCATGGCCCTCTTCATTGCCCATGGTCGACTTATTTATATGTTCAATAGAGATCACCAGAAATTAAGAATTCGAACCCAAGAGAAGTACAATGATGGCCAGTGGCATAATGTAAGTTGAAATTGAAAGATCCAGATAGAATCTTTATAAGCATTCAAAAAGTGTTGTTTACCTCAAAAAAGTATATTTATAAATTGATAGTTAGTTGGAGTTTCAATGCAATAAAATGTTGCACCTTCCAAAGATCAGGAATAAAACAGGTCATCTTCCATATGCAGTTTCAGTATCAAAATGTGTGGAGAAAAATAATTGCATTCATCCAAACCCTTTTGTATACTTCTAGATAATGTATTTTAATGTTTGTTGTATCTTATCTTTTTAAAATATTGAAAAGTATAGTAGTATTGCAACAATAAAGATAAAAATAAGGAATAAACTAGAGAGCAACAACTCACAATGAAAATATAATCCAATAACAATGTAAACCTGTGTCTATGCTACTTATCTGTTCAGAAATAAGTCTCTTACACACTGCATTGAAAGAACCAGCTTACTATTTTATTATTTTTTTACTTTTCACACTAAATTAAAAAAACAATAGAAATACTAGAAAAATCTCAACTGCCTTTTCTATTTAAATAGATTGAAAAAGTAAGCAGGATAGAGACTAACTCTCACAATATTCTCTGAGTGAATTCCAATGACATCTTTTCCATCATCTTTAGCATAAACATGTTGTTGTGGTTGTTTTAAAAAAGGTAATGTTTGTTCGAGAGAAGAATATTGGTCGTTTGATTATTGATGGCCTCCGAGTACTAGAAGACAGTCTTCCTTATTCTGATAACACATGGCCAGTTACTACTCCTTTCTACATAGGGGGTGTGGCACCAGGAAAAGCTGCTAAAAATATCCAGGTAAATGCATTTTTCTATAATAAATGTATCTTTTTGTGCGTGTATTTGTAAGACAGTTAACATAATCATAGGTGGAAAGAGGCATAGAGATCATCTACTTCAACAATCCCTTGAACATCCAACCTGTTTGAAGTCCAGTAGAGAACTCACTGTCATGCATATGGTAGCCTGTTCCACTGGGTGACAATTTGTACTGATATCTATCCTGAATTTACTTCATCAGCTTTTTTTTATTCTGCTCTAATATAGAGAGTCACTAACTTACAATCACATTTGGGACCAGAATTTCCATTGCTAAGTAAGGCAGTTGTTAAGTGAGTTACATCCGATTTTACAAGTTTTTTGCCAATTGTTAAATGACTCATTGCAGTTGTTAAGTGAACAATGCAGCCATTAAGCAAATCCAGCTTTCCCCCATTGACTTTACTTGTCAGACATCATCCTCAAAGATTGCAAATGATGATCTTATGACCATAGGATGCTACAAGCACCATAAATACATAGCGGTTGCCAAGTGCCTTAATTTTGATCATATGACTGTGGGGTTGCTGCAACAGTTATTAAGTGTGAGGCTGATCACAAGTAACATTTTTCAGTTCCACTGTAACTTCAAGCAGTCATTAAACAAATGGTTGCAAGTCAAGGATTACCTGAAGAGCAATGTTTCTCAACCTTTTCCATTTTAAGATGTGTGGACTTCAACTTCCAGAATTTTCCAGCCTGCATGCTAGATGGGGATTTCTGGGAGTTGAAATCCACAGAACTTAAAGTTGACACAGTTGAGAAATACAGCAATAGAGGACCTATTGATTAGCCTGTTATTATTAAGCCTTCTTCACAGATACCTTGTTTCTGTCTTGGCTTGTTTTTTAGAAAAACGTGGCTATATAATTTTTTTAATGAAATTTTTATCTGTTTCTTATTTCAACTGTTTGTTTCCCTAGATTAATTCAGTATACAGTTTTAGTGGTTGTCTTGGCAGTCTAAAGCTGAATGGAAAGCCAGTCACTTCTCCATCACAGACCTTCAGTGTAACACCTTGTTTTGAAGGACCATCAGAAGAAGGAACCTATTTTTCATCAGAAGGGGGATACATTATACTTGGTAATGAGTTGTTCTTGTGCTATTAGTGGTGGTGGTTAAACCTTTAGATAAATGCCTATGGTTACTGATGCAAAGAGATGGAGAAATATATATTTTGGGCTAGCCTTTTTTTTAATTACTCAGGGTATTCTGTTATATTCCTGGCATATAGTGGACTAAATTTCCAAACAACTTTGCATTACTTAAAGGCAGAAATTCTTACATAGTATAATCAGTATTGTCATTCTGCTGGTTTCCTGATCAGAGCATAAATTCTCGAAACCTAATGCTCTCCATATGTATAAATAATTAAACCCCAGAATTCCAGTTAAAATATTGGCATGAATTCTGGGTTATAGTCCCAATATTTGGGAGGACAGCATTAGATTAAGTAATAAATTATTAACACAATACTATAATATTACCTTAGCTCAAATAGGGGAGATGCAAATTATCACTGAACATTATTAGGTATACAGTGGCTTATTGGATAAAGCCATACCAAGACTGTGTACTGGTTATTGCCTTTTTAACTCAAGTTAATCATCAACAGATTACAAATTGAGAATCTGCTAAGTACCGGTATATGAAAGCAAGAATTATACAGCCTATCTAAAAGAAGCTACCTGAAATAAGAATTTTAGAATAGCATAATATTGAAGAATTGCATAGTCACTGAAATTTTAAAAACACTTTCAAATTTCCAAAGTTAAGAGAGATTAACAGGATCTTTATTGTTTCATCTTCTACAGCATGTGAGTAATTTCACAAGTCAACTTTGAATAAAACATTTTGTGACTTTTCCTTGCAGATGAATCATTTAGCTTGGGCCTGAAATTTGAAGTTGTTTTTGAAGTCCGCCCTAGGCACCGTTCTGGAATACTTATGCATGCACATAATGTAAATGGAGAGTTCCTGAACATACATATGAAACAGGGACAGGTATGAGAAAGGGCCAACCACTCCTCCCTATTTTTACATTCTGATTTTTCAAAACCAGATGGTCCACCTTTTTGTGAAGCACCTTGTGCTCCTTACTTTTAATATGAGCAAAGTTCCAATTTCTGAAATAAGTAATATTATTTATCAAGTGATCATTTTTACATGTTCCAAAAATATCTGCTCAGTTGAAACATGTGTGGATAGTAGAGGATTTTAAAAACTAAGTGGAACTAAGGGGGGAGGAAACCATAGAATTTTCAAGAGAAAATGAATATATGTTTTTATGATAGCTTCAGCCTTAGGTAAATGACCTCCCTCTTTTTAAAGATTTTATAACATAATGTGTTTAGTGCTCATTGGTTCTGAGAATCAGCAAGCTTCCTATTGCACTTAAAAATAAATGTTGTAAATTGACTTGAAAGCAGTAATAGTGCAGTTAATATTAACTTAATAGGCATTCATAGAGCACATTCACATTTCATTTTATCTCTCTCTGACCTGTCCTACTATTATCTTAACTCTAATCAGTCTTTGGGAAAAAAAAACCTGTCTGGATTAAAAAACTATCTCCCATTCTATCGGGTTTCTCCTTTTAAGAAGTCCATCATTTTGCAGTAATTTTACCATCCAGCCCCACCCCATCTCCAAAATAAGATGATGTCTACTTCTATCTTCCAGAAACTGTTGATAGTCAGTACTCACAATAAGGCAAGTTAGCAGTGCAGATGTGTTTAGCATAGTATGCTGTTTCCCCAAAGCTGCTTTTCACTTATGGGAAAGGCCAGCTACTGGGAGAAGTCAAGAAGAGCAAACTGGTACATACAGATAAATGTACTGGAATGGCCAGAAGACCTTTGCAATGTAATCCTAAATCAAGCTAGAGAGGAATAAAATAGTGGGTCTAAAGTTTTTGCCGAGTGTACTTCTACTTTTCCAACCGCAACCTTTCCAGATATAGCAGAACTACAAAAATTCCCTAATCGGGGTAGTTCAGGAAATTCTAGTCATGGCTCACCTGGAAGATGCAATTTTGAAATGAACCAGTATGTGGGTGATTAGAATGCTGGACTTTTCAACCTATCATGCTTATGTAACACTTTCTTCCATTTCATCTCATGCTTATTAAGTAACACTATCTGTTGGGTACATTTTACCTCGAATAATTTCAAATTTGATAGTTAAATGCATAATCTCTAACAAGCACATTTTAAAGCTTTTTCTTACTTTTTTTTCTTATTAACTAATTACATTAGAACAAATAATGTACTGTACTGTATAACATGTATTATAAATACAGGATATTATGTGCTGTATAACATACTGTTCAGGTTTTGATAATATAATCATAATCCTACCTATCCAACAATTGCTGAATTCAAGAGGCCCTTCTCCACTCAAATTGCATGTATAATTGCATGTAAAATGGGTAAGAAGTAAACCAGCCTTCCTTATCTGAGCACCAAAGCATAGGAGAAGAATCTTACATTTCTATCTAAAAGCCTTGAGGCTGGTGAAAAACATTTTGTTTTAAAAATTTTTAGATAATGTTAAGATTCTAACGCTGAACTCAATCACTTTAACAGGTTATTGTGAAGCTAAACAATGGCATTAAAGATTTTTCAACTACAGTTATACCAAAGCAAAATCTCTGTGATGGCAGATGGCACAGAATTGCAGGTGAGACACCACAAGTTCTGTAATAATGGTGATTGTGGGTTATTTCTTTAGTTAAAACCATCTAAGATATTGAAGAAGCCTTAGCCAGAGCAGTTGGTATTTTCAAAACCTTTTTTTAATCTGGTGGCTTGGGATATGAAAATACCTTATTATCCTCTTCTGTTTTGCATAATAGTTATTAGAGACGCTAATGTAATACAACTGGATGTTGATTCAGAAGTGAATCATGTGGTGGGACCATTAAACCCAAGAGCAATTGACCACAGAGAGCCGGTATTTGTTGGAGGAGTACCAGGTAAGATTATTATCACTTTATTTTTAAAAAATTAAGAAAATAAACTATTGTTGTTTATTTGGATTTATTAGCCAACCAGTTCCAATGAACACTTTAAACCATAAAAGTGATGTCATATTGACTTTCCAAACACTACACAAAACTATTGCTTTGTTTTAAGGCTATATAATTACCAACAGAAAAGATGGGCATTATTGAGAACTGGTGTTTAATGTAACTTTTCTTTGATAAAGCAGAGTACTTTATAAACATGTACTGTAAGAACGTTTATTTCTTATGAGATTGATGCTATCAGATGCTTAATCATTAATGCTCTAATCATTTTAATTTTTTATGATTTAGGTTTTGAATTATCTTTAGGATTAATTTCCCACATGTACTGGATGTATGTAAAGATATATCCATGTGCTTTGAATATTCATTAATACCATTAAATAATTAAATATGCTAATAGAATCTTTGACATAATTCATCACAAGGGAAAATCAGAAGCCAACAATCTTATAAACAATAAAATCCTGAAATCTCCTACCTACCAAATCTGGTTAAGAGCCGTGGTGGCGCAGTGATTAGAATGCAGTATTGCAGGCTAATTTTGCCCACTGCCAGTGTGATCCTGACCGGCTCAAGGTTGATTCAGTCTTCCATCTTTCCGATAAAATGAGGACTCAGATTGTTGGGGGCCATATGCTGACTCTGTAAATTGCTTAGAGATGTCTATAAAGCACTATGAAGTGGTATACAAGTGTAATTGCTGTAAGTATTAAGTGCTATTTTAAAAGAACCATGTTTATCGTATTTCCATCCATTTGAGTAGGAGTCTCCTGATCTTGAGTTTTTTATGAAATTTCTGGAAAAGGTAGACTACTACTTTCTCTCAAATCCTCTTCCTAACGCTTTTCTCCAGATCCAATCAACAACCTTCTTTTCTTTAATTAGCTTCAGAATGTCTAATACTTTTTAAATGAGTTGAATTTACTAAAAAAAATTAAAACCCCACAGAAGTGCTACTAAGCTGAGCTTAGAGTAGAAGTGGTACTAAGTGTATGTTAAAAGTTTCATATTACGGTTAAAGCCATTCTAAGCCTGTACTTGCATTTAGATACCGTAATGTCACTTATGAACAATTTGTGGCTAATGTTTTTAATTTCTTCACAGAAGCCTTCCTGACATTCAGCCTGACCACACGTAATTCCTTTACTGGATGCATCCGTAACTTTATGATTGATGAAAGGCCAGTGATTTTCAGTAAGGCAGCTTTGGTCAGTGGTGCTGTGAGCATCAATGTATGTCCTGCTGAGTGACAGGCTGGTACTACAATGATATATACAGCACTGAAGAAGCAGCAGAAGCTGTGCAGGGTTCAATTTTCAGTATCAGAAGAATTAAAACATATCACTCATTTTAAATACATGATAACATAACAGCATAAAGCTTGCAATCATTAGGAAAGCTTCAAACACTTTTTTTTTTGGGGGGGGGGGAAATACAGATTCCTAACCTGTACTAGGGAAAAAAAACACCTCTGCGGTGTTCTAACTGGGGAATGAAAGTGATCAACCCAGTGGGAAGAAATGTAAATCCACTACTGCAGTGGTCCCCAACCTTTTTTGTACCACAGCCCGGTACCGGCATCACAAAATGATCCACGGACTGGTACCGGCATTAGCACGCACGACCAAGACAAGGCAAGCCGAGCGACTGGCCAGCCAGCCGTCCCCCACTTCTCCCTGCCACCTTCAACTCCTCCTTTGTACCTTCTCGCAGTCGATGGGCTTTTCGGACTCTTTCTTAATCTCCTCCTGAGTAACACAAGACTCCACCACCATCGGGACGGCTCTTCATTCGAAGCCGCCCCCCCCCCTTCAACGAAACTAAGGCACGAGGATTCCTTCAGCACCCAAACTCCGCTTTCCATCCAACCAACGACCGACAAGCTCACCCGGAAGCACTTTCTCAAGCGCCGTTGAAACAAGATGGTGCCCAAAGTAGGCGGCCCGGTACAAAATGATCCACGGACCGGTACTGGTCCGGGACCCCGTGGTTGGGGACCCCTGCACTACTATACAGTAATGGTCACAGGCATGCCTGACTACATTTGTCAGCATTTCATGAGCAAATGACTTAGCAACTCTGGTTTTCAGCTTCAATCCACTAGAAATCATTTTATTCTCCCATCAGAAGTTTGATAATAAGCCACTGTTGGAATGTCCAGATGCTGTGTCTTGGGATAAGTTACTTCTGTTCATGGTGTGCTTTGCTTCATGTATCTTACAGAATAAACTATATAACAGACATGTTTCACTAAAACAGTATCTTCTGAGTTTCCTTTTCCTATACTTTTTTGTTCAATTATGGTAAAGTAGTAGGGGTTTTGTTCAATTTCCAAAACCCAGTAAAATCCCACACATTTTATAATTATTATAATCTGCTTTTACACATAACAAATAAATCGATCCATTATTAGCAAAAGTGAATATTTTATGTATCTGTTACTTATTTATATATCTATTTACGCCACACAATTGTAACTTTACTGGTAATTGTAAGAAAATCAGATTTTCACCTATGAAAAACAAGTAATATATTCATTATTTAAAGTAATTTTATGGGGAAAGGTGGTATTTAACTATATCCAACTCCCATTTTAACATTTTTCTCAATCTTGACAATAAATACATATTAAACTGTACGTGCTTTTAAAACTAATTAAATGTTCAAAATTCCAAATTCCAGACAGTCTAAATTTATCATTCATTCATTCATTCATTTTTATACGGTGAAATTAAAAACCATACCAGTTGACATAAGAATATTTTTTTAAAAAATATTAAATGTGAAAGAAACAAGTAAACTGGTTGTTCTATAAAAAATTATGGCACAGGCATTTGTTTGTAATGCTGTAGGAAGAAAAATCCGATCCAGTTCCAAGCCAGGAGAAAGACACAGGAGCCAATGAATTTAGAGGCAGGCTGCAAGAAAAGAGGTCTCCGTTTATTTTGGAATCAGAAGCAAAGTGACTCAGCATAGGTTCTGGGACAGCTGACAGCCTGGCATGGGTAGTAGTGATTTTTATACCCTTTTTGACCTTTGAAATTGAGATGCCTGGTGGGATTATTAGATTAGATTAGATTTTGTATTTCAATTGTCCCTATTGGGTTTCCTGGGTGGTGATCAGGGTCAAGGCTAGCCTTGGGGAAAGATGGGGAATGTAAATTCTGTGTAGTTTTGTATTTACTACTTAATCCTTAATCCTGTCAATTCAGCCTGTCCCAGTCTTCTAATTGGGCGTTACTTGAGGCCATTCTGTCTGGGAGACACCAATTGCTTTAGCTTCTATGGACAGTTTTTCTTTGCCTTCTCTGAGGGCATGGAAATAAAGGGGGGTATCTTATGATTCTTCCTACAATACTTAATATTAAACCAAAGTAACCCCTCATTATTCTTGGAATTAGTCGTCCTAAATGTGAATTCAGCTAGTCAATAAATATTTATCTCTTGCAGTTAAAAACTTCTTCCGACACATAACAGGCTCAGACTGTTATGATTGAGGTGATTGAGGCAGAATATAGGATGCATGCATACACATAGAATTACAGACAAATACTAGGGACAAGTGAGCTTCCACCAAAAAGTATCTTTGGATGGAATTACAAATTTCCAAATTTCCTTTATGTAGAACTAATACAGAACAGATGTGTGTGTGTGTGTGTGTGTGTGTGTGTGTGTGTGTGTGTGTGTGTGTATTTAAGACTGCTAGCACTTCTATATTGTCACAATTTTTACTCCTCAGTATTTCCAAAGGTTAACATCTTCTGTTCTGCTAGCTTGCAGAGAACCCAAGTCTGCCTCCAGCAGACTAATACAATAATCAGCCCTTATTGCTTAAATTACTGCAGTTCAACATATAATAAAAATATTAACAATCCCAAATTACATGAAAGAGAAATAAAACAAATCCCAGACACCAGCTAACATATTTTATTGTAGTTCATATGCAAACTGCTTTTTTAAAAAAATATGGAATAGTTTATATCATGGGAAAAAGCTTTCCACCTGTTCTGAAGCCTTTGCTTCTAAGGTTAAAATTCTCAAGCTATGAAGCCAAAAGGAGAGTATGTAACATTTTTGCAAGCAAGTACATTCCCAGTATTACTAACTATGTTGCTATAGCCCTGAGAAAGGGACAGATACATCCATCCTAAGTGATACTGAAGCTCTGGGAAAACAAGCAGCATGAGGCAAAAGTTCTCCCCAATGGGAAAATGAACCAATATGTCTACAGCATTGGGGTAAAATACCATTTTTGCTCCACTTTCAGATATACTGGTATCAAAATAGGGGGAAGATTACTCTGCTCTTGAATACCAACAACATTCAGTGAAAATTGGGATCCAGAGCCAAATTTGAACTGATACAAACATCAGGTACAAGCTGATTATGAATCACTTGCCAGATGCCCATAAGCAAAAACAAGGCATATAGAAGTACTCTTATAAAAATAATAAACTATTACTAAATAAAACATCAATTCTTAGATTTTATAGAATTTGCAGTCATGGCAAGTTAATGAATATGTTTCTTGATGGAATATTCTTTGCAAGAATATAAAAGGTCAGGTCTCTTTTGATAAAGCAGAATATGCAATCAAGTTTTCCTTCTGCTTCATGTACATTTTACCATCAGCATGGGAATAACCGTCAGCGATAAACTTATTTATCAGCCTCAAAATAAGTAGAGGAAAAATTACAACCAATAAATGATTTCTAGCATTTGAAGGTCAATATATCTACTAAATGAATAACAGCAAGTCAGAGGAATTCCACTTTTTTGAATAAATAAACCATTTTCCATTTTCTATCCTTACAGTAAACCATTTTCATTATAAATGGTATTTTCAGTTGTTTGTGAGAAATCTGGATACCTGATTGTCAAATTGTTTCTTGATTATAGTATTGTGGATATTCTGATTGTATATTATTCAACTCACCTGCACTTATAATGCCCTAATGTCATCAGATTATATTACTACCCAAGTCCATCTTTTATTTCCTTATTTTATTCCAACTGAAAGGCAATTTTATAAAAAAATAATCTGAATCTGCTACCCAAATTTTTATTCCCCTAAAAAACACAGAATCTTTTTTTTCTTTTGAGGTAGAAGCTTTAATTTATAATAACACAAGCTACTACACAACCTCAGTCGCATATCAGACTGGATTTGTATTTTTGACAAACAATATATCACACAGTAGGAAAATGGCAATACTGTCATAGTTAATGAGTCTTGAAGGAAAGCAACAAATTTAAAATGTGGTATTGATATTTTTGCAGGGCCACCCGGTCTTTATTTCATTGTATGCATACCTTGGTTTACCTCCCTATTCTCAGAGCAACCTGGGCTCCCCAACACCCCCAGTCCATGGCCACTACTGTGGGTTGAGCCATTTGGAACCAGGCTGCGGAAGTAGTGGGCACACATATCCCCACTTGCATGAGTAGTGGGCAAGAACATACACATGTGCTCCATTTGCACATGGAACTGTGAGCATGCGTGTGCTTGCCTGCCGTTCATGCAGAACCCTCCCCTTGTCCACAAAGCCGGAAATATTAGGGAACTATGAATTAGATTATCTTGGCTTTACAAAAATCATTGCAAAAAATCATGTTCAGTTCTTAATTATATTCTTCTTATATTCATTATTATGACATTATGACAATATTTGGTTTGAACTGAAAATTAATACAGGTTTAGAACATTAGTATTAAAAACAGAGAAGAGAGATAAGCAATCAAAATTCTTAGAGTGGTACAATAATGTAATAATATTTTCAATGGAGGAACAGGACAAAAGACCATCCTAGCATATTCCTGGTTTCAGACCTTAAATTGCACATTCAATGGCCAGCTGCTAAACAGGCTAGAGCAGCTTAATTCAGTGTGAGTGCACCTATTTGAAGATTATGATACAGATTCATCCTTTTCTTATATTCAACTCAGATTAATTTACTGCCTTGGCAAATGGCAGCATGTTACTAATCAAGTCTTGGCTCAGAAGTTAAGTCAGTCAGTCCAAATTCTGATTTACAGAAAACACCTTAATGGAACACAAGTTTTATATGCTAAATATTTATTCATTAATCAAATAGCAAAAACCCCAAACCACACAACAGGAAGAAACCAATAGTAAGCCATATAGTTTTAAGAATATCTTACTTTTTAATAGGTGTGCTTTTTGAAAGTGGAGACTTCAGCTGTTTTTTCTGTTTTGTCCTAATCATGAAATCATTGAAATCTAAGAAACAATTACAATGTATTTCATTTACCAGTATTAATAATTGGGGATTTTTTAATGTTAGAAAAACAATCCAACATTTCTCAGTCGAAACAATGAATTGAGAAGCCACAAAAATCCATATCCAGTGATAATATGAAATGTTTCACAGGGATATAAACATATATACAGACATACCTTGTTTCACTGTATTGCATTTTGCAGGCATTGCACTTTTTTTACAAACCCCTCCACCTGCAAAAAGCTTGACTGGCTGAAATTTCAGATGCTTAAACCTTTTTTAACAAGAGTATT